AACTGATATTATTTTTAAAATATATAAAGTGATATTTAAAATATATAATATATAAAAATAATATTTAAAAATTGATATATAACATTTTAAATATTTGATATATTAATATTAAAAACTCTCTCCCCTCTTCTCTCTCTCTTCACCATGAGCTCTATCTCTCCCCATCTCTCTCTCTAGTTAGCTCTCTCTCTCTCTCTAGAAAATAAATGCAATTATTTGGCATATTCAGAATGTGCCAAACTGTACGACGAATTTACACTTTTAATTTTTTTTTTTTTTAGAATTGCAAAGTTGCATTAACAAAAAAGAGAAGCAACCTAGATACAAACTAATGAGAATGATTCAAACTATCACATTCTTCCTTTAAAAGCCGTACAAAGGAAGAAGGAAGAACACTCTCATCAAAAAAGTCCCAAAGAAAATCAAATGAATAGCTAAGTTAGTACAGTAGTTGGCTAACTTATTACAATTGCAACTAACACAATGAAAGATAACATTATTATAATTGATAAAGAAAGATAAATCTCCACTATCTCTGTCCCAAATACTCTTCTTCGGTTTGCTGTACAATTTTTGAAAAAGATTGATAACATGTTATTGTCTCCTTCCAAAATAATGCAATTAACCTTTTGAAGTATTGCTTCCAACATCTCTTTGAGGGCAGCAATTGCTGAAAACTCCAACTGAGCAATATCCCAATGTACTTTTTTCATCCCAAATTCTAAAATGAATATTCCTTTGTTATCCCTTACAATGCTAACTATACCAGATTCATAATTATCTTTTAATGAGGCATCAAGATTTATCTTAACCTAATCGGGTGGTGGAGGTTGCCATTTATCAAAGAACAGTCCAAAGGACTGATTAACAACCCAGTTGTTCGACCGGATCAAAGACTAATTTCCTGAGCTAATAAAACCCAGTACAAAAGTTGCTATCATCACGTTGTTATCTTCGGATTTCCCATGCTTAACTCTGTTCTTGTTGTTCCAAACAGCCCATAGCAGTGTAAAATAGATTCTACTCAACATCACATTAGAATTCATTAGCCTTCTCAAACTTAATAAACAGTCCTTCCAATCTTCAAAATCTGGTAATAGAAAACCCCAGCTTCTAAGAACCTTCTTTACCTTTAATAACTTTAAGCATTTTGAGGAAACATGGTTAACATCTTCAATTGCTTCATAGCCAAACGGACCAAGCTGGGAATAAGACAATCCTCTCTTGTTTAAAAGCTTCTCGGTAGGAATAGCATCCCTGAACAACCGCCATATAAATAATTCCACCCTTGCATTAAGCTTCAGCTTATAAATCCAAGATATATGATCTTCATCCATCAGATATTCATGATCTTCCTCCACTAGTAATGCTAGTAGAGATTTACCAGTCATCTTCAAATTGACTTCCATGCAATCTTCATTCATATTTTGGAAAATTTGGATGTTAAAAATAATATTTAGCAATTCCTTACCAAAGAACAAGCTTAATTTTGCACGATCCCAGCTTCCCTTGTTAATAAAGAAGACAAGAGTAGTGTTGTCATCATCCAATGATCCTACAAATGTTGGCCATTTGAGAAGACTCTTATCTAGAATCCATATATCCTTCAAAACGTTAATTTTGGAACCATTTCCTATCTTCCATCTTAAGAAATTCTTAAGAGCATTCCACCCACTATAAATGATCTTCCAAGATGAAGAGCCACCTCTTTGTGTACCTTTGTCCCACCACTTGGATCCATATTTACAGAGAAAATTTCTATTTAATAAAGAGCCCGGGTTTTCCAAAAGTTTCCAAGCAAATTTTGCTCTAAGGGTATCTCTCCTAGCCAAAGCTGACTGCAGTCGCCAACCTCCAAGTTGTTTTGGTTTGTACAATTTATCCCATGCTACATAATGAATTCCCCTTGAGCCATCACATTTGTTCCAAATAAAATCTCTACAAAGCTTCTCAAACTCCTTCAAAGTACTCAAAGGAATAAGAGAGTGTGACATAATAAAAACAGGGAGAGAGAGATAAACAATTTTTACCAAAACCATTCTTCCAGCAAGAGAAATAAACCTATTCCCCCAAGCATTCAGCTTTTTGATAGAGTAATCCGATAGCATCCAAAAATCCAACTTTTTTAATCTTCTCAAGGGCAACTTGATACCCAGATATTCAAATTCTTCCACTAATTTTACTCCCATCGTTCTGGAAATTTGAACTTTTCTTCTCCTTATAATAGAATTGTCACAAATCAAAGAAGATTTGTGGTAATTGATATTCTGTCCAGTCCACTTGCAGTAGCTTTGCACAATGTCTCTAAACTTTTTCATACTTCTCTTTTTGGCTTCAGTAAAAAGCAGCACATCATCTACAAATAGAAGGTGAGAAATATTCTCTTTTTTAGATGATATTTTAACTCCCAAATCCGGACCTGTATTATGAAAATCATTGGTTAGCAATTGAGAAAATTAGATAAATAGAAAAGAGGATAGTGGGCATCCTTGCCGAAAGCCACTCTTCCCCTCAATCCAACTAGAATTAGAGCCATTAATCAAAATAGAATATCTGGGATCTGAGATATAATTCATAACCATCTTGACAAATTTGAAAGGAAATTCCAAGTCAATCATCATCTTCTTGAGAGTAGTCCAATACATGTTGTCGTATGCTTGCTCTATGTCCACCTTGATGGCTAGAAGACCATTGTTTTCTTTAGAATACCTTGGTTTGTTGAATACTTCCTGAGCCAATAGAATATGATCAAATATTGATCTACCCTTCACGAAAGCCACCTGCTCTTCAGAAATGATTATAGGAATGATTCCCAACATTCTATTCAATAAAACCTTGACCATAATTTTATAGATAGAATTACAGAGACTGATTGGACGGTAAGCAGCTAGAGACACCGGGTTGGAGGATTTGGGAATCAACACTATCAATGTGTCTTTTCATTCCCTGTACATGCTTCCTTTGAGAGAAAATAGTTTTACCGCACTAAACACATCATACCTTATGATGCTCCAATAAGCCATGAAGGAGTAGGTGATCCCATCACTTCCAGGAGCTTTATTGTTACCCAACTTCATAACAACCTCCTCAATCTCAACTTCTGAAATCTCCCTATCCAGCAAGCATTTATCCTCCTCATCTACCATCATCCACGGTACAAGCCAACCCGTCAAACAACAGGCCCTTACTTTCCATTTGTTCTGAAAAAATCTGAGAAATACATCCTCTACCTCCTTCGGATCTTCAGTCAAATTCCCTTCAAGATCCTTGACTTGAGAAATAAATTTGACATTGTTCCTTGCATTGGCAAAAGAATGAAAAAACTTGGTGTTAGAATCACCATCTTCAATCCACTTAATTTTAGCTCTTTGCTTCCACCAAGTATTCAAACAATTCAGAGTGACATTAAGCTATTTGACCTTGGCTCTAAGTAACCTTAATTTGTTTTCATTCAACCATCAAACTCTAGCTTCTTCCTCTTAGATTTGTAAGATTTCAACCTTCAATCTCTCTTTTTCCTTAGAGAATTCTTTCAATCTCTCTTTGCTCCAATAAAATAAGACCTTCAAAGACCTCTTGCATTTTTTATTAAGATTTTCCATTTTTATCTCCCACAAAAGCCTTCTTCCAACATTTAGAAACAATATGGGCTGCAGTTTTGTAAGATAACCAAGCATCTTCAAATTTGATACATCTTCTCCCTTTTGAAATCGGCTCATAGATTTTCAATACAATAGGGCTATGGTCAGAAGCCACTCTGCTAAGTGTCTAAATATAGCAATTTGAATTTTAATGATGGCAGTGAGTTCAAAATACATCTATCCAGTCTTTCCAGAATCCTTCCACCTCCAACTTTATTGTTACACCAAGTGAATCTTGGACCAACAATTCCAACTTCATGATAGTCATTCTCATTCATAAACTTCAACATCTCCAAAAAGCCTTGGGAGAAAGCAAATTTTCTTCCACCCTTCTTATCTTCTTGACCCAAAATACAATTGAAGTCCCCACCAACAATGGATGGGATTTTCCTATGAGAAAAGTCTTGCATACAATCCCAAAGCTCTCTCCTCTTGTGAGTCTCCTTGCTAGCATATACCATGGTAATCATCCACACACCTTTATTCAAAACATCAAGATCTCCAATAACACATTGTTCTAATGTCTTAACAACAGAGAAGGAAGCCATGTCAAACCTCCAAAGAATCATGATCCCACCAGAAAGCCCTACTGAAGGTTGTAAGAAGAAATCCCAACCTTGATCCATCATCCTTTCAAAAGCACTTCTATCACGAGAGGTGATTTTAGTTTCTATCAACCCCACACAAAAAATCCTGTGATCTTTTACAATTTCCTTCAAGTAAAGAGAGGCCTCTCTCTTCTTGGCCCCCCTACAGTTCTAGAAGGCTATGGATTCCATTAAAAATAGTTTGGGGAAGAACCCCCATCCCTTTTCTTAATTCCTCCATCACACATTCTTCCACGGGAATTGATTTTAATAGGACCTAAGCCTCGTAGTTCTTTAGCAACCTTGCTTTTAATCAAATCCCCATTGGTTCCAGTTTCCTTGTCCTTCTCCACTCCTTCCAATCTCCTCTCATTTCCTTTGTTTCCTTCATCTTTAACAGAATTTACAAGAGTCGTTTTACCATCACAAGCATCCCGAAAGGAGCTAGTATCCTCCATAGCTTAACCTCTATCCTCCTACTCCAAATTCAACACCTCAAACTTGTTTTCATTTACAGAGATAACATTATCATTATATGGAAACATACCAGCAATCATATCTCCATCTACTATTTTACCATTATTCATCACTTTAGTATCTCCAATAGTAGCAGCCTGCAGCTCGTTAATGTGCAATTCAGATTCCTCGGGGATTTTCCCCTCCTCTAGTTGTTTATTAACAGCTATTGAACCCAGCTTCTTCTCATTATTGACATTAAGATTAGCTGATTCCACTACAACAACCTCCCATGAGCTTCCTTTGACTTCTTCCATTATTTTTTAACAATCTTAGGATTTTCATTCAACCTCTCAGGTCTTCTATTATTCCTCTTAACCATGATCCATGGTCCATAAGATGATTCAGTGTCCATACTTATAGATTTCTTTGTTTCTAAAATAGGTCTTCGCTTCCCAACTTCAGCAATCCTTTCCATAGTATCATTCATCCTATTTTTTAAATCTGATTTCACATGCCCTATCAATCCACAGTTATAGCAGAATGTTGAGATTTTCTTATACTCAAACTTCTGAAAAAACCTTCCTGAGATACTCTCCACCCAAACTCCTAAGGGAAGCTGTTGATCCAACTTGACCCTCATAGAAATTATGGAAAATTCCCTTTTACTCCACTGAAACATATTTCCAACCATCATTATAGGTTTTCCAACCGATGAAGCAATTCTAGCCACATTGACTTCATCCCAGCATTGTAAGGGTAAGTGAGGCATTCTAATCCAGATAGGTGAGGTTAGACCCTTAAGAGATAGAGTAGAAAATTCCACCGTCCATCTTTCTATTCCCACTATATGTCCATTAACGAACCAAGGGCCTCCTGACAGAATACCTTCCATTATGTCTGTTGAATCAAAGGAAAACAAAAACCAACCCTTGCCAAGAGTTGTGAAATGAAAGTTCCCAAATGGTTTCCATTGCCTTCTTACTTCCCAGGCAACAATGTGTGACGATAATTCCTTACCAAACACCTTAATTACTAAGGAATTTCTCAACCTATTAGCATTGAAAATCTCAGCATCTTCCTTCATTTTTACGGCTTTACCATCCTCAGCAAGTACCATATCTTCATCCTTGAAATCCAACATAATGTAAGGCTTTTTCTTCCACGGGTTTTCCTCTGCTTCAATAACATTCCTATTAGGCATTACTCCTTGCACTTTGTCCAAAACACCAATATCCTATGTAATCAAACTATCCTTAAAATGAAGATTTATGTTAACGTTGATACCGGAATTCGCATTTATCTCATGGACAAGTCCAGTGATTGCATTTGAATTTCTGAACCTGTTAACATAAATTTTCCTTTCAGAAGACGATGCCGACGGATCAACAACCACCTGCTCCGAAGAACTCTTGAATACTCGTGGGGTTTTAATAACATTATCATAAGCAATAGCCTTCCCTTTACCCTCCACATACGAAATCTTTTTTGGAACATCACCGATGTTGTCCTTGATCACCAAAGGACCATTAGAAACTCTATTCCCAGAATCAGCTATAGATCTTGTAGAACCAGTCTTCAAGCGACCATCTCCAACCAAATTTTGATTCAAACCTCCTCTAACAATGTTGCCTCTTGCCACCGCAGCCAAAGATGGCCGCTGGCCATCCACAACCATCACCCTAGTCAACTCCTAAACGGAAGGAATGAAAACCGGGAACAAACTTTTCAAATTTTTGAACATTTCTCTCACTAGAAAAATGGGTGTTTCTCTCAGTGGAATGAAAGATCCCAAATAGAGTTGCTCTATGGTTGGGTGATTAAAATTTTCATTTGAAAAAACAATTTCTAGCTTGCTTTTTTAAATTATTTGGATTTGCTAATTTCCACTATAAATGTTCTCCTTTTAAAGTAACCCCTTTTAATGATTTCATTCTAATCATTCATTTTCATCAGCTGTAATAATAGGCTATTTAATAATTATTTTTAATAATTTAAAGTAAATGAGTCATTAAAATATCATGTTCATACACCTAAAATAAAATTAAATTTGCTCGTTGATTCAAAAAATTAATTTTAATAATAATAATAATATTAATAAAATCTTCTTATAAATTAAATGAGCCATTTGCATCATTATTAATAATAACATTTGTATCTATTTTACGTTTATTGCTCAAACGAATTTATTTGACTTGAACTTTAACGTTTTAATTGTTTATAATATTGTGAAAAAGGATTTTATTTGGGATAGTTTTTAAAGCAGTTTTTTAGCCTAAAAATTTCTTGAAAAACATAAAAAAAATAGTGACAAGAGCTGCCTCTAACGAAGCCGAATTTAATTTCCAACTATGCATCAAACAAGGCGAATTTGACTTGGGCTATTTAAGCTCAATTGGACCACTTTTGGTAGCGTTGAGTTCATCTTGTCGAGACTTTCAATTCGACTATATGTTCCCTAAAATTAGAATTCAAATGATCCTAAATTTAGTTCTTAAAGTTACCTATTTAAATTTTTCCTTGATAGCCATGCCGATCATATGATATTATTAGGGTTTAGAAATAGTAACAAGATCTACTAAAATATATAAAATAGTAATTAAAAATTAGAAGCAAAACTAGAACCTACAATATATAGGAACTTACTACAAGTAACGTTAATATACCCTTTTAATAAATAACAGTTTATTTATTCCTTAATAAATAATATCAAGATGAATTGACGTGGAAGTCTCGATACCTAGAGAGAAAAGCAGAACAACAAACAAAGGAAACAAACAACAAAGAGTTCTAACATCCAGAGAAAACCTGTGATAATATTCTATATGCCTTCTTTCTGAAAACAGTGACCATCTTTACCCTCTAGAGAGCTTCAGTGCTAAAAAAAGGAAAAAAAATAAGAAAATAGTAAAATGATTGTACTATGGTCAATAGTTAGTTATAGCAGTATGAATAAGGTAGTTGAGGTGAAAATAGGTCATATGGGCAATAAAGTGTTCTTGCAAAATGGTTATACTAATGTGGATCCATATTAGTTCCCTCCCATTCCAGAGGTCTCCACACTCGGTGAAGTTATTTCAATGTTTTCTTCATCCGATGGAAAGTAAGGGAAGATGTCTTCAATGTTGAAGGTAGTGAACGTGAGGATATCTTGTGGTAAATCAACGACATAAGCATTGTCGTTAATTTGTTGCTTGATTGCAAATGGACAATCTTCCATCGGCTAAGCTTCGAGTAAGTTCATGAGGGGAATTATTCTTTCCTTAATCAAACCATCACTAATTTACAAAATTCGAACAACTTCGGGTGGAAGTGTAGATTAGCATTCAACTTGTACAATTTGTTGTGGGCATCATCAAGCATAAGTTTAAAATTTTTAGCCAACTTACCTGCAGTAGCATTGTGACATTTTGGAATGATGGCCAGATTAACTATGTGGTTCAATATTTTGGTGTAAACTATGCTGAACAGACACATCCCTATTGACCTATTGGGATCAAGTTGTAAGCAAATTCAGCTTGACTTAAGACTTCTTCCTACTATTCTAGGTGATCATGGACCAAACACCTAAGCATGTTACCAAGAGTCCTATTGACCACCTCTATTTTCCTGTCATTTTAAGGGTGATAAGCTGAGCTGAGATTGATTTCAGTTTTGAGTTGCTTCCAAAGTTCAGTCCAAAAATGGTTGATGAATTTCACATCACGATCGGACGTTATACTGCGAGGAAGTTTATGTAATCTGACAATCTCAAGGAAGAATAATCGGGCTACTCCAAGATCACCACAAGTTTTCCTGCAAGCTATGAAATGGGAAATTTTAGAAAATCTATCAACTACAACCATGATTGAATCGATACCTTTTTTAGTGCGTGGAATCCCCAATATAAAGTCCATATTCAATTTTTCCAAATGGACATAGGTACTCGTAGTGGTGTATACAATCCAGTATTTTATAGAACACATTTGTAAGCCTGACACACTGAACACCTCTAAAAAAATAAGAGATATCTCATCTCAAATAAAGCCAATAAAACCTTTGTTGCATTTGCTCAACTTTCTTTTCCATCCCATGGTGGATATTAATCCTCCCCATGTATCTCTCTTATCAACTACAACCGAACCGAAGAAGATGGAATGCATAAAGAGTTACCCTTGAACAAGTAACCATGGAAACTTGAGTAGTCTCCCTAAGACCTGCTGGCAGAACATTGCCCCATTGCTTAGAAAATTCATTTTCTTGATAGTATAGGTCTTTAAGTGATTCTAAACTTGTGATTTCAGTTTGTAGTTTAACGATCAATGCCAAACATCTGCTTAAGGTGTCCACCACTTGGTTTTGATGGACCATCTTTTGCTTCAAGATAAAGATATAGATAATTTTTTGTAGGAATATTACCCACCGTTCATGCATTCTATTAATATTTTTTTTAGTTGTTCAAATATTGTAAAGATTGGTGATCACCACATAGAATAAAGTTTTGGTGAAGCAAATAAAGCTTCCACTATTTTAAGGCTCAAACAACCACATAAAGTTCCTATTCATAAATAGACAACTTTTGCCCTGTCGGGCTCCATTTCTCGCTAAAAAACTAAATGGGTTTATTATCATGAGACAACATGGCTCCAATTCCAATTCCTGAAGCATCTATATCTACATTGAATGGTTTGTTAAAATATGTTATAGCAAGCACAAGAGTTGAAACTAAGGCAATCTTGATCATTTCAAAGTTGTTTTATTGTTCTATCTCCCATACAAAAGATTGTCGCTTTAAATAATATGTGATAGGTGCCATAATCATACTAAACCCATAATAAAATGTCTGTAAAAATTAGCTAGCCCATGAAAACTACAGACTTTAGCAGTTGTGGGTGGTTTAGGCCAGTTTGAGATAGTAGCCACCTTGTGAGGATCCAAGCTAACGTCTTGTGCAGACATTATAAAACCAAAGAAATGTATTGTTGGCATAGCAAATTCACATTTATAGTTATTCAAATACAACTTGTTCTCCCTTATTAGATTAAAAACTTCAGCTAAATGCTTCCAATGGTTCTCTAGTGATGAGATAAAAGTCAAAATATCATTAAAGTAAACCACACAACACTTACTGAGCAACATTTTTAGAACTTCATTCATTAGGCATATAAGCAGCATTACACAAGCCAAATAGCATTACCTTCCACTCAAATAGATCATTACAAATCTTAAAAGTTGTATTCTATTCGTCACCTAGTCGGATTCATATTTGATGATAAACACTTCGAAAATTTAGATTCGAGAACACAATGGCTTTAGTCAATGTTCCAACATATCTTCTATTCTCAACATGGGGAAATGGTATTTAATAGTGATCTTATAAATAGACTGACCGTAAATGCATATTTTCCAAGAGCCATCTTTCTTTAATACTAGCAAAGTAGGTAGTGCACATGAACTTAGACTACATTGGATCATTTAGTTTTGTATTAGATCATCTAGAATCTATTGCATGGCTTTTTATTCAATTGGACTCATTTCATAGTGGGGTAAATTGGGTCAAGTAGCACCTAGAATATCAAATTAATCTGATGTTGAATTATCTTCAGTGGTAGAAGCTATTCGGGAAGATCAGTTGGAACAACATCCTCAAAGTCTGTCAATAGCTGTCGTAATTCTTTTGGATACATGGATGGTTGAAGAATGGAGTTTTCCTCAGCTAAAATCATAGCCAATAGAGCCTTAACTTCACATCCATATTATACAAAATAGAGCTTCTTGTTATAATGTTTAGAGTAGGCTGGTCTTCATTGACTGGTACATGTTTAGTGTGAGAATTGGGGAGAAACTCTAACTTTTAGTTCTTCCATTCAAAAGAATAGGAATTTGTATGACCATCATACATAATACACATATCAAACTTCCAAGGGCATCCAAGGATGAGGTGATAGACATCCATATCAATAATGTTACATAGTACTTCGTAGGTGTAATTTTTTGCAATGGAAAAAAATAACTCTACACATCTCTGATACAAGAATTTCCTTGTCCCTTTTACCCTTCTAACTTTATAACAATTTGGAGTTTTGTAGTATTTTATTACAATGCATTAACAAATGACTTGGAAATGATATTTTTCAGTGCACCAATATTCAATCAAGATATCACTCACCTTGTCGTTGATCGTACATTTTATCCTAAAGATGGTTTTTAGTTGTGAGGGCGTCA